CCTTAGCCAATGTTATCTGTGGCGAGTATTTGTCCTCACACCCGACCTGCTGCATCCTACTGGTCACCTTGTCCCACTAGAACCCCAGGTAACTACCGACCTGAATAGGGCAACTCGCTAGTGAGCATCTCATGGGCCACTGGATCGGGTCCCAGTGGCTTAATGGTATACTAGCTCGCCTTGTAACCAGAAGGTCCTGGGTTCGAACCCTGGTGGGTAAGTGCCGATGAAGAGTCCCAAACTAGGACGAAACAGCTGTCCAATACTCCCAGGTTTTCCAATGTTTCTCTAACTAATGTCAGCTCATGATGAAATCCTGTAAACCAATCAAATCCCTACAAACCAACACTTGAATTTGTTTTAATTGATTACAGGACTTCACCATGGGCTGACATCGGTTAGAGAACCATTAGAAAACCAACTGGGAGTACTGAACAACCAGCTGTTTCGTCAGCATAGTTTGCGACTATTCAGCAGTATGCATCTACCGTCGTGGTTCGGACCCAGGGCCTTCCAGTCACAAGGTCATCTCGTAGATCATTCAGTCACTGGGACCCAGTCCAATGTGCAGGTGATGAATTCCAAATTCTTGTAAGCCTTGTAACTGGAAGCTCCTTGTTCGGAATCCTGGCGGTTGATGCGTACTGCTGAACAGTCCCAAACTAGGCTGACAAAATAGCTAGTCGTTCAGTACTCCCTGGCTGGTTTTCCAAAGGTTCTCTAACCGATGTCAGTTCATTATGAACTCTTACTACTAAATAAAATAAATATTATCATCACTATGGTGTCAACTGGGTAACGCATCCATCTTCATTCATTGGGGAATACAAAAAAACCTTTATTATAATGAATATCATATACCCGATGCTCAAATTTTTTCAAACTGTTAAAAGTGAACTTGGTTTGGACATATATAACTCATCCATCTGCTTAAATAAATTAGATTGAAATCAGTGACTTAATCGACTAACATCAAGACTTAGTGCTACCACTCCTAAAGTTACTTCTGACTTAGTGCTATTTAGATAACATTAATCTTTTAAGAATATAGTGTCTTGCCAGGTGTGACATATGTCTCGAAAATCACATTCAATGAAGATTCACAACGCTATGCCTTATTTTAATATTCAACTACACATGAATATGCACTCCATCGCAATAAATCTATGCATGAACATGTGTAATCTTTTCATATTTTGAGGATTGATTAAGCTTGTCTTCTAGATGAAAAGTAGAAAAGAGAGGACAAGAGGTCTCTCTATCCCCCATTCACAAAACGAACCTGTTAAGCCTATATTTATTGGTTTTTTGAGTTCCGAGTGGAACATTGTGCTTCAGTAGCACTCCCTTCTCTTATTTCATATTCCACTGATTCTACTACTACCAAAAGGCTTTCATACCCTCTATACATGATCTGAATGTCACCATATGACTCCCAACTCATTACTCCTCATTTGGGTTCAACTGGAGGGCTTGGTACGCAATGTCATTCAATGGTCTCCTCAGTGTATATTCACTCTACCTCGATTTTCCTCTACATACTTGTTGGTCAATAGATTTTTGGTCAGTTCCTTAATGCAGTTCCTCTTAACTTATCTTTCCATGTCTGCCATGTGATCTCCAGTATCAAACAGGGGAAGCCACCTGTTGATGAAAGTTCGTGATGCGTTTTCAAAGTCTCTGAACCGTATAAAAGCTCTGCCTGGACGTTAGTGTTCAAAATTTGTGTCTTCTTTCTTGCACTGATTGCAGCAGATTTACATATTGATCTCACAGTAACCAAGGTCTGCCTCCCTTTTCCGATGGTGGCTAGAGCTGACATCCCCAGCCGTGTCACCTGTAGTTGGAAGTATGCTGTCTAGATAAGTGAAGGAAGTGGCCTCTTTCAAATTTATTCCGTTGACTGTGATTGGAACTTGTTGTTGCTGTTAGTTGGTTATCTTCATCACCTCCATCTTCTCTATGTTCACCTGAAGTCTTGTTTTTGCTTCCAGACTCTTCCATCAACTTGTCGGCTTTCACCTTTAGATTTCTGAATTTGCATGACATTAGATATAAATTGTCTGCGACTTCCAAATCCCTTAGAGACCCCTTGTGTGCTAAAGGTATACATGTCTTCTCTCCTAAATGAGTTTGATAAAGGTTAATCTCACTCTGTAGTGTTGTAGTAGTTCCCGAATTCCTTCTCAGTTAACACTGTCGAAGGCTTTTTCAAATTCGATGGAGTTGAGGCAAAGTTTTAAATGCTATTCTAAGCGTCGTTTGATGATGATGATGATGAAGTGGAGTGGCTATTCGGACCATATATGAGTTGCTTCCCTATAATCTAACTTGTTTCAGGTGTAGTTTTAAACGTAGAGTATGTTTTCATTCTCTTAAAGGTCTTTAGATTCGGCTGTAATATTTTATGCTGAATTTAACCAAGAGAATAATAGAAGTACAATTTGTTGGTATTAGATGACTGGAGGCAATCGGCAAGAAGCCTTGTTTATCCTAGGTTTTCACTAGTTTACATTCATCAGTTAGCAAGGTGCATTCGCAGTCTTGAAGCAGTTCATTTCCCTTCTGAGATTCGAACCCGTGTCACCCAGCGGTGCAATCAGAGACGTTACTACTGAGTTATTCAGGCTCGCCACTGACCTCTCGTAGGACTACATTATATACTTTGTGTTGTAATTTTTTGTAATAGTAGTATTAGTATTTCGAGATGACCGAATTACAAAAATTCAACCAAGACACAGAGGGGGATGAATTCTGGAATTTGTATTTGGGGGAATTATATATCAATTCATATAAGAAATATATTAACAAGCAACAGTAAGTGTTTAAACAATACAGAGATAGAAATTGTCAATCGCCACATCCGCCACACGTCGAGTGTCTCCTTGCGTATTTATAATGATGTCTCGGTTTGCTTGGAAGTTGCTGCGACCTTCTAACTGATTCTGTGATATTATTTTCATCAGTATCATCTGGACTTATTTCTGAATTATCTACAAAATCAAGATTAGTAGCGGAATCATTAAAATTATAATTGGAACGACCTACTTCATTTATTGTCACTTTGTCCAGGTGTCGATTATGAACTGAGTGATCTTTGATGTCTAATATCTTCACCACTCGATTTCCCATTTTTTGTAGTATGATTCCAACAGAAGGTCTATAGTCATTGCCTCTGTAATAATGTCAATCACCACACTTTGATTGGACACTAATTAGTAACTAGTGTAATCCGTCTAATCCTTTCTTTGGTGAAAGATGAATTCTATCAGTCAAGTTTTCAGTGTGGCCACAATTCTGTTGATAATAGATGGTTGCACGCAGTCGGCCACAGGAAGCCTTAGGAAGGGATGTGAGTTCCTTCAAAGATTCAGATAGGTTTTGCTGACTGGTTAATGCAAACTAGCACGAAACTTCGATTTAAAGCTTCCTGCCGATTGCATTCAACCTTCTAATATCAAAAATTCAAAGTACACCGTGATGAAGAGCCAACTAAATTGGTGGCCACACTGCAAACTTGACTGAGAGAAGGATTCTGTCTGCACTAAACAAAGCACTAGACACATTACACTAGTTTCTAACTAGTGTCCAATCGAAGAAATACAATTTAAAGCAATTAGTTCCTTTTATGAATCTCAGCAGAACAATAAGAAGACGTAGTTTATCTGTAACGTGTAATGTAATGTGTTTACGCAACACAATTACGATATTTTGATCACACACACACACAGACACACATGAGTTCCTGTTATACACACTTATTTAGAACGCAAGATAGCATGAATTATTACAATACAGGTCAAATAGTCTACAGATCAAGGTCATAAATAAGCGATGGGAAGATGACGTAAAATATAGTATAATTATGATAATATTATTATTCTCCTGGGTTCCGAGTGGAACATAAGGCTTCAGGTACACATCTTCACTTTCTTCTATTTTCTGTCATCCTCTTCAGCTGCCTAGCTCCACAACTGCCTGAAATCTCTCATCTCCTCCAACTCTCACGATCACCTCCATGTCACCCCCGCACCTACGACCCACTCGTCACCTGCCATTGGGATTCTATTCAAGCGATCGCCCGGCGCGCGATGTCATTCGACAGCCTCCTCAACGTATGCCCGATCAGTGCATTTCCATATTCTCTGACATATCTGTTGAGCGATTGGCCCTTGGTTGGTTTGTTTTCAGTCAGAGTTTCTTGTTACTTATTATTTCTAACCACTTGATCTTCAGTATGGATCCAGTGAAGTGAGAAGCTGTTGATAAAAGTCTTCAATAGCCTGTTAGAAATTCTTTTCATCACACGCAGTGCAAGTTTCTGATACGTAAAGAAATAGTGACCAGCTTCACAACTGTGTTAAAAATCCGAATCTTTATATTTATGCTGAGTGAAGCAGGAGATTTCCAAACTGATTTCAGGTTGATGAAGGCGTATCTTGGCTTTCCGATTTTGGCTGGCTGGCTGACTGACTTTGACATTGCCATTCATTCCACTTGTAGTTGAAATGATACTTCCTAGAAAAGTGAAGGAGATAACCTTTGTCAAGTCTCTCCCATTGATGGTGATTGGTGCTAGTTGTTGTTGTTGTTGTTGGTGGTGGTGGTGGTGGTCGGTGGTCATCCTCATCACCTCCGTATTCTCTATGTTCACCTGAAATCTGTCCTGTGGTCACTGCCTACTTTCCCAGCCAGTTTGTTGGTTTTTGTGTCTGTAAGTCTTCGAGTTTGTATGATATTAGACATATATCATCTGAGAAATCCAGACCCCCTAGAGTATTCGTATTATTTGTATTTTCAATAGCTTTTTTGTGCATTGAATTTTCTCTAGCAGTTTGACAGCTTTTGTAGTGTAAGGTTGTTAGGCCGACATCCAACCCTCCCCCATTACCCAGGCTTGTGACTGGCTAGAAAACTAGCGAGGTTAAAATGTAGTATAATAATAATAATAAAACAATTATTTAAAAAAAGTACAATTTAACTGTTTCTATTTATTTTAGCCACTAAAGCAATTAAAAAAGTTGTTAAACCATCAGAAATATACTTGAAAAAAATTGAAAAATTAACAAAAACTGATGATAAATTCTTAGATATACATGCAAATCTACTGAAATCAGATAATTCAGAGTATAACGACTTTTTTGCCTCATTTGAACATTGGTATCATAAGAATTCACGTCGATATATGCGTTATCTATCTGTGTATGGTCGTGATTTTATTACAAAAGTTGAATTCAAGTTGGCGCTAAAAGATCTACGTGTACCATTCAATAATACACAATTGCATATTATCTATAAATGGTTAGATCCAGAAAAAACTGGTCTAGTTGAATATAGTACACTGTATGAAGCATTTTGTCGTGCCCTAGCTAAGCATTACACAGATGAAGATGAAGTGAACACAATGGATTTAGAAGATACTGAGAAATGGATTGTAATGACATTTAAAGCGCCTACCTACGATCCTTTGGATATGCCAACCTCATTTGAACAATTAATTCATCTAGGTTATACAGGGAATATGTTACGTCAGTTGATTCATTTGAAAGTACCACAGCTACCATCGCATACATTAGTTCTATTCACGGATCCAGCACATTATAATGAAACAATAATACATTGTAATCAAAAACTGTATGATTTTGATTTTATTGGTGGTTCAAAGATTACACCGACTGAAGGAACTATCTATTATGAATATTCAGTTGGTTATGTAGATGCACCGCTACTGTTATGTAATCGAGAAGTGAACGAAATAAATCTGATGTCTTACATGGATAATCAACAATTACAAACATCACAACAGGATATAGAACAACAGTCGATTGATAATCAAAATGTTGATAGAAAAGGCAGAGGTGAACAATCCCGTGAAAGATTTGAATCGTACGTGACAAATTAAACCAATTATTACTATTGAATATTAAACATTGGTAGATGGTTCGAATTCAATGGAAATATTCATTTCCAGACAATCTTTCGAAAAAATAAAAATAAACAAATTCGAAAATATGTGTATACATATATACATTCACATGTCAAAAAGAAAACGTTTGACGTTACTTTTGATTTCTAATGTGAATTTTATTTCATACATTTGGTTCCCTTCATAAATTTCGATAAAGAATAGAAGACGAAATTCGCAGTATAAAATGATATCATTGTATTTCACAGGTTCTCATCAGCTGCAGACTACCTGAAATTACAATGGTTATATAGATGATTATAACATACTTTAATGTTCGAGTGGTGGTAGAAAAGAGATACTATAAAATTGACGCATCTAAATGAAAGCATTACAATGTTTTTAGTTTAAGTTTTCATCATCAATTTATACGCTTTTAAAGTTGAAAAGAGGGGGAGGGTTAAGAGAGAAAACAGAAAAAATTGATTAACAGAACAGTGTTAGCTTTTAGGTTCAAATAGCAACTCAAGAAACAAAAAAAACAAAAACGGTTACAGTTTATGAGATTAAGATTTGTTCAGTGAGTTGAGATCACTGAATTAGATGACTAATCAAAATCAAAATTCTGTTACCAAGGGAGTGAGAGGTTAATCACACTCTCTTTCTGTATGCATAAGTCTGGTTTAAGTCTTTTGATTGCGATTGCTTCGGCAAATCGTAGTAAATTTGCTGTCCTTTGTCTATTTAATATTTTGAAGGACTTAGAAATCTCTACGAGATGTCTGGTATCAATAATGTGTCTGGTAATTGCACTCTGGGAATATCTGCTTCCTTTCAGGCACAGGTTTTTGGGAATATGTTCAGAAAACTGGATAGAAGCCCTTCTTTCTGTCCTTCCAATGTACTTGCTCCCGCAAGTGCACGTGAATTCATAAACGCAGTTGGAGGTGACATTATTTTTTTTATTATTATTTTATTATATTGTATTTATTTTATATTTTATTATATTATTATTATTTTTTCCTGCATCTTATTTTTATGGAATAGATCAGAACAAGAAGTTCAGCAAACAGATGTGTTTTCGGCGATTTCTTTCTGAAAAACACAGCTAGCTGTTCAGTCGCATTTACATACACATCAGTTTTTTGATGTAGTTTTGTTCTCTGAGCTAGTTGGCGACATCTTCAGCGCATACCTTAATTCTTTTGAAGTGAACTTTTAGATTTCTGCACGAGTTTATTAGTCATCTCTCCTAGTGGGTGACCCCGAACGTGATTGGTTGTTTTTGTGTGTTTTCCACCCTCTAAGCTACTTGTATTGGAACTGATTGTCTCCATGACTTGAAGTTTTACCCTTTGTGTGTGACATTTCCTTCTTATTGATTGGTAGATTTTATCTATGTCGATGTGTCTATTGATTGACGATTCACTGGAATACCAGGGTTCTAAAAATTCTCTAGCATTCTTGGTGTTTCCTCTGTGTAACATTTGAACGTTGTCCCAGTCGAAATAATGTCCGTGGTTGTCTGTATGCAGCGATACGAGCAAGGGAGTGGATGTCATGTCTTTTGATGGCTAGTTTATGATCATAGATACGAAGATGAAGGGGACGTTGTCCACTTTGGCCAATGTAGTGTTTTCTCTGCGAAAAACACCAAGAATACTAGAGAATTTTTAGAAGCCTGGTATTCTAGTGAATCGACAATCAATAGACACATCGACACAGACAAAATTTACCAACCAACAAGAAGGAAATCTCACATACAAAGGGTAAAACTTCAAGTCAAGGAAACAATCAGTTCCAATACAAGTAGCCTAGAGTGTGTGGAAACACCCAAAGACAACCAATCACATCTAAGGTCACCCACTAGGAGAGATGACTAATAAACTCGTGAAGAAATCTAAAAGCTCACTTCAACGAATTGAAGTATATGCTGAAGATGTTGCCTAATAGGGGGGCAATGAAAGCTTCGCAAAATAAACCATCCAGCTAACTCAGACAACACAACTACATCAAAAGCATCGACACGAGCTACAAATCTTCTCCATCATAAACACAAAAGTTTACACAGATACAATTATTGTTAGTTAATTCCACATAATACGGAAGCAGGAGAATAAAAGTGATACTAATTTTCAACTTTTATTAAGGAAGTCGTGACCAGTGTGGTACAGCAGGTCCAGTGTGAGGACATATTCAACACCGATGACACTCACTAGTAGTCACTCTATATATCCTGAATTGAGAGAAGGTGAAATTCATGCACGGGCTACTGGATCGGTTCCCAGTGGTCTAATGGTCTGTGAGTTGTCCAGTACTTCGATTTTGGTTTTCCAACAGTTCTCTAACCAAAATCACCTCATGATGAAGCTATGTAACCAAAGAAATCCCTACAAACCAAAACCTGAATTTTCAACTTGAAATGAAAGTTTGAAGGTATGAATATATAGAGTACAAGGGACTTGGAAACAAAATTACACAGGATTAGAAAATAGTTGCATAATACGTAAAATAGTTCATACGAAGACTGGCGTGAACGGCGTGAAAATGAAAACAGATTTAAGTGATAGTTTTCATAACTGAAAATGAAAAGACAAAATGAGAAAGGAATGGAAGCACAAAATAAAGGCCAAACTAAGGAGTGAAATTGAACCAGATCTTTGAAACCCATTGGTCCGGCTTTTCAATATATATGGCAAGGGCTCCAGTAATAGTACAAAGAAGTCGGAAACACACTGATTACCTCTGTTAGATTTTTGTTTACTTTGTAAATAACTCTGAATAATGCTTGAATCAGTTGAGATGCTGTGACCAGGTGTGTTGACGAGGTGTTTGATTATGGCGCTTTTGATTGGACCAGTACCTCCTCTTTGCAGCCATGCTGGGTAAGTTTTGAAAGGACACGCGCATAGAACGACCTATGTACTTAGCTCCCAGGGATCAGGTGAACTGATATATTGAAATTAGATGGTTGGAGGCAATCAGCAGGAGGTCCTGCTTGACCTAGGTTTCATGCTAGTTGGCATTCCCCAGTCAGCCAGGCGTATCTGCAACCACCTTGAAAGAACTCATGCCCCTCCTTCTGAGATTCGAACCGATGTCACCCAGGGGAGTAGTCAGAGACGCTACCACTGAGGAGCTACTCGGGCCCACGTTTGGCATCCTGCAGAAGTGTATTAGTTACTTCAATTGGACCCTAGTAACTAATGTGGTGTGTAGATTCCCTGTTTGGTGCAGACTGAATTCTGACGAGTGCAAATTAGCACGAAACCTAGGTAGAGCCAAGGCTTCTTGTAGATTGCCTCTAACCATCTAACATCATCAAATCAATGTACACCGTGATGGCGAGCTACCTAGTGGTATGGTGGCCACAATACAAACCTGACTGATAGAATTCAGTCTGCACTGAAGATAGGACTAGACAAATCACACTAATAACTAGTGTTCACTGAAAGAACTAATATATTCTTATTGGAGTGGTCATATGAGGGAGTTTATCCCTCGCGATGCCTAGAAGCAGTGAGGTAGAGCTAGGGGATATCATTCTTAAGGCTGCCTAAGGAAAGGTCTTCTTTAGGGAACTATGTATTTATTTATGCATATAAGTGTGACTGTGCAGCTGTTTTTAAGAAAGAAATCGCCGAAGAAGCTTTCTGTTTTCACAATTTCTTGTTCTTTTCTCTCTAATATCCTGATGGGCATTCTTCACGATTTATTGAAAACGAGTAAGGAGAATTAAACATCTGTTTCGTCTACATTTGACATTCCTCAGCAGCATATCATAACCATGATTCAAGTAGGTTACGTATTCAACAAAGTTCACGTTATGAGGCGATCGAGATCGATCAATGATCCAATAATTCTAATTCCTGTTTATTCAAGTATGCGCTCACTGACATATAATACCACTTTGTGAAACTCACTGATCACGCATTCTCATTAGAGCCTATAGTCCAATGAATTAATTTGAAGTTATTCCATATTAGTTTGTTTATTAGATGTATCACACAGTGATGAAACAGTATTATTTACTGGATAACAAAGTTTCGAACACAATTCATTATTCTTCATAACCATATCAATTGTAATCACACGACTTTGAGTTTTATAGTTTTCTTTGTCGTCTCCTATTTGTCGTTGTTGGGGTAGTAGGATACTCCAGATATCTGGGACAGGTGTTGAATCATTCCTATTACACATATTTTCATTCAGTTGATTCGATAAACAAAGCTTCTGCTATCAATCCCTTCCTCCACTCTATGACATTTGATTTTAAAACTGTCATCTTATCCCATTCCATCCTATTGTATGGTTGTGTGTAACTCTATGTTGTGCTATAGCTGAACTATTCTCTAGATTTATTATCTTATTCGGGTCAACCAAACTAGATTTTACTAGACTAACCGGGCATGAAGACCTAGCTAGGTTTTCATGCCCGGTGCCCACGTTTTAAACATATATTAATAATTTGAAGTTAGCAGATAGGAATTCTAAATCCAAAGATATCAATATGCTTATTAGAAGTATTCATTTCCTGTATACAACATACAACAGAGTAGTTATCACAAATAGAAATTATGTATAATTGTCATCTGATGGGTTTATGGATTTCACTTAGTTAATAGATAGTAAAGGGATCCAGAATACGACGGAGTGTCAGGCCGAGTGAAACACGTAGCTTCAAGCTAGAGCTTAGAATTTTCTATAGAAGCGGCTTTTGTTTTTACAGCGTGAGGTTACCACCATCATGCCCAACCATCTTTACGAACCAACATGACCGCGCCTACACCCTGGTCAGAGCGTATTAATAATGCAAAATGTGTATTACATTTCAACTGTTCAAACAGTTCTGTGTACTGCTTTCTGTTAAGGTACTGATCTGTCTGTTTTCGACATAGAAGGTATTGATGACAGGAATTGGTGATGGTTGATTTAAAGCATTGGAGATCTTAGTCAGATATTAGTACAAGATCTTTAGTTTGGCTAAATAGATGTTCAAACTGACTACGTGTATGAAGC